CAGATCTGACATTCCCTGTTCTAAGGCCCCTCTCAGCTCTGACATCCTTTGTTCTAAGGCCCCTCTCAGCTCTGACATCCCTTGTTCTAAGGCCCCTCTCAGCTCTGACATTCCCTGTTCTAAGGCCCCTCCCTGCTCTGACACTCCCTGTTCTAAGGCCCCTCTCAGCTCTGAATCCCTTGTTCTAAGGCCCCTCTCAGATCTGACATTCCCTGTTCTAAGGCCCCTCTCAGCTCTGACATCCCTTGTTCTAAGGCCTCTCCCAGCTCTGACATTCCCTGTTCTAAGACCCCTCCCAGCCTTTTCTGTATTCTGAAAAATACAGTTTACATCTTTAAAATAAAATCTGTTTATTTTAACGAATAAAAAGTCATCCATTTTTAGCCTTGCACACCTTTTGAGCCAACTTTATGTGCTCACCATTTTCGTGGCTGTTTTGCATAATAAGGCTCCTAACTTTCCTCGGCAGTGTCTGTGTGTCCATGTACAGGGCTCACCCAGAAAATTAGGATTTCAGGAGGAACCAGCATTGTGTGTATTCAATTAAAGAAACATTTATTAAGCACTTGCTGTGTGCCACGTCCTGAGAATACAAAGGCCACAGTTAAATAGCCCCTGCCTTCCAGGAGGGACAGCATTCATTCCATGAGCATTTTTTTTGAATGTCTTTGTGCCCGGCACTGTGCTAGGTGCTGAGGTCACAGAGATAGAATAGAAGTGTAACCTCTGCCCTCAAAGCGCCTGCTCATTCATCTGGGTAGAGGAGAAGTGCACAGATAATGGAGCCAGTCTAGAACTGGTACCGAGCAGAGATTGTCTAGAGTGTCCTGGGAGAGCTGAGGGTGCGTCGGTCGGGGCGAGCCTTGCTGGCTGGCGGGATGACGAGGGAAGGTATTTAAGGAGGAGAATCATAGGATTTAGAGCTGGAGGGACCTCAGGTCCGATCCAGCCCATTTTACAGATGAGAAAGCCAAAGGCCCCAACAGGCTTAAGTGACTTGCCCATGGTCATGCAGGCAGTAAGTAGCAATGAGGAGTGGAGCCCAGGTCTTGTACACCACACTGTCCCTGGGTGGGATTAGGCCCTTGGAGAATGCTCAGGTTTAGAGCTGAAAGGGATCTCAGATGCCATCTTGTCAAACCTCATTTTACAAAGGAGGAAACTGAGGCCTAGGAGAAGTGACTTGCCCAGAGTTTCACAGGTAGCAGGTGTTGGAGGTGAGATTTGAACCTGGGTCCTCAGACTCTGGAGCCAGGGCTCTTTCCAGTGTCCCACTTAGTGAGTTTCCAGGTACAGCAAATAGTCTCAGCCAATTCATGATAAGCTTGGGAAGCAGCCAGTAGCCCTGTTTGCATGAATGTAGGGGTTGGAAGGGGAAAGGGAGATGGGAGGAGGGTGAGCTAATCCATGCGGGAGCCAAATGGCTCACATGAGCAGCCGTCAGAAGTCCGGCCAGCCGGGCTGCATAGTCCTGAGCTCTCCCCCACCCCCCGGCACTCCACAGTACATTCCATCCGTCCTTCCACACAACAGCCCTGGGAGGTCAGTACCACCGGTGGGATTAGCCCTATCTCACAGATCAGGAGACAGAGTCCCAGGTCAGGTGACGTCCTTTGCCCTTGGTCATGGAGCAGAAGCAGGGTTGGAGCCCAGGTCTTCCTCATTCCTGGTCAGTGTCCTGTCCTCTGAACCATACAGGCACCTGCACTTTCCTCTTTTCCCTGTGTGATGAGCCCTTTGCCCGAGTTGTCCTCTTCTCCATCCTGCTGTAGGAGAGATGAGTCAGTTCATTTCCACAAACATTTCTCAGGGGCTTACTCTGTGCCGGGCTTAATGGTTAGAGAAGCAACCTTGGAGTCAGGAAGACCTGGGCCCGGGTCCGGCCTCTGACGCATGCTGGCCGTGTGACTGTGGACAAGTCACCTAACGTCCTAGTGCATCAGGGAACACTCTGAGAATGAAAGTTGTAGACAAGATGCCAGCCTACTCTGGTCCAGGTTTCCACATCAAGAGTTCCTTATTCAGGCAAAGTCCTAGATTTAGACCAAAGAAATCTTCCAAGCACTGGAGATGCAAAGCCGAAAATGAAATAGGCCTGCCCTCAAGGAGCTTACATTCTACGTCTGGGCATTCACTCATTAAAGTAGCATTTAATGAGTGTCTGCCATGAGCCAGAGCCTCAGAGAGGTTAAGTGAGTTGCCCATGGCCATACAGCAACTGGGTTAAAGGCAGCCTGGTGGAGTGGATAGAGATCTGGCCTCAGTGTTAGGGAGATCTAGGTTCAGCTCCCACCTCCAACACCTACCAGCCATGTGACCCTGGGGAAATGACTTTGCCATGTGCGATAAGTCTATGCCAGTCAGTATTGGTAGAGGGACTTCCGCACCAGGAATGAAGAAATCAGATCTGATTAAAAAACAAATGTGTGGGGCAGCTAGGTGGCGCAGTGGATAGAGCACCGGCCCTGGAGCCAGGAGGACCTGAGTTCAAATCCGGCTTCAGATGCTTGATACTTACTAGCTGTGTGACCTTGGGCAAGTCACTTAACCTCATTGCCTAGCCAAAAAAAACAAAAATAAATGTGTGGGCACTGGGCTATACAAAAATGAAGCAATCCCTGCCTTCAATCTTACGTTTTTTAGGGGGAGGGAAATAATATGGGCACAAATAAATAACCACAAAGTAATTTCAGAATTATAGTATGAAGTATTTCAGTGACTTAGATGGGGAGGCAGGGGTCCAGAAAGGTCTCAGGTGGGCGGGGGCAGCTGAGTTGTACCTTGAAAGAAGCCTCACTGATTCTCTGTTCTGCTTCTCTTTCAGGCTGTATCTCAGTCTGGTCCTGGGGAATGTCAATGTTACCCTCCTCAGTAACCAGGCCAAGTGAGTATGTCCAGCCCCTGTACCTTTTCTGTGTCAGTCATGGATTCCCAAGGACCCCCGGCAAAGCCTCCCATCCAGTCCAGTTTCCTCATTTTGCAGATGAGAAAGCCAAAGGCCCTAAGAGGTTTAAGTGACTTGCCCATGGGCACCTCCTTTCTCAGGATGATGTTTTCAAATGCATAAAATAAAATACGTAAGATTAAAAAGGAAACCAATTATATTGAAATACAGCTATCCCTATATCAGAAAACAAACAGGTTCACAGATCCTGGTTCTTTATTAGAGTCCGTCCCCTGTGTTGTGGAGCCGGGATCACGGCCTTCCCTCACGAGGCCTGGGAGACAAGACATTACTTGAGTAGAATGTACACCCCAAGCCCGCGTATATGACGTGGTTAACCTTCCGGGCCTCCAGCCTCCCTGATGCCGGGTTCCCTTTAAATGTGTGTGCAGACCAAAAAGGCAGAATACTGAGTCCTGTGAAAATTGGACCTTGGAATTTGTGTTGAAATGGGAAAGATTGAGTTTCTGGACCCTTGTCCTTATGTAAGGTCCCAGGCGCTTAACTATTAGGTTAAAGTGTAGGGAGTGATGCAGTGTGTAGCCCTCTATGCTCTTGCCCTCACTGATTCCTGTCATTAACACCAGGCTTTAATCTGGGGGCAAGGGTTGGAATGGATGTCCGTTCCTCGAGTGCCCCACCCCCGCTTTTTTCCTCAAGTTCCAGAATGTTCTGTATCATGTTCCAGGCCTAAGGTCCGAGCCGATGAGGGACCTTAGAGATTGCCCCGGCCTTTCCAGCCTTCAGGTGTTTGAAAGGCTGTTTCCTGCTGGAGGGATTAGCTTTGTCCTGCTTGGCCTTGGAGGGCTGAACCAGGGACCGTAGATTTGGGGGTGAGATTTTTGCCTATAAATTTCCTAATGACAAAGGTTTATTTTAGTCTTTTGTTTTTCCATCATAGTCCAGAGGTGGGGACCACGTGTGGCCCTCTAGGTCCTCAAGTGCGGCCCTGGGGCCTTGAGGCTGCAGGTTCCCCTCCCCTGTCACAGTCATTTCCTGCTATCCTCCACCTCCCCACCTGACCCCCGGTGACAAAAATGTTAACCAGAATTAACCAGTAGACTCCTAGATTTAGAGTTGGAAGGGACCTTCAAGGCCATCTAGTCCAAACCCCTCATTTTACAGAGGGGGAGACTGAGGTTTAAACTTGTCAGCTGACTAGAGGCCCCTCGGGGTGGATTGAGCTGCAGGCCTGGAGTCAAACCCAGCCCCAGAGACTTAGTAGCTGTGTGACCCCGGGCAAGTTTCCTCATCTGTAAAATGGGGGTAATAATAGCACCTAACTTTCTGGCGCAATTGTGAGGGTCAAATGAAATAATGAAGCATTTAGCACAGCACCTGGCACGTAGTAGGCTCAGTATTTATTATTCCCTTCCCTCTCCCCGTGGACAAGGTAGAAGAGAAGGAAGGTATCTGAGGTGGGATTTGAACCCAGGTCTTCTGGGCTTGCAGTCAAATCCTCAGACACTAGGCCACGCTGTGCTGAATCAGCAGCACATTCCACATTTGTAGCCCCCCTGCCTCCTACCTTTCCAGCAAAGGGAGGCAGGTGAATTCTATGGTTGACTTCTTGTTGGAGATGTCATAGAAGGGATTCTCATTCGGGTATGGTCTGGGCCAGATGGGCTCTGAGGCCCTGTGATACAGATGAGGAGACTGAGGCTCAGAGAAGGAAAATGACCACCCTACAGTCACACAGCCAGCTCCTGGTTCAGCCCCTTTCTAGCCGTTGCCAGGAGGGGAGGGGTGAGGCTGGATCTGTATCAGGGAGGAGCGTGGCACGTCGGGGGTTCTGATCTTCTAATCCTGGCCGGGCTGTTCTTGCAGGTTTGCTTACAAGGATGAGTATGAGAAATTCAAACTTTACTTGACCATTATCTTCCTGCTTGGCGCCATAGCCTGTAGATTCTTCCTGCATTACAGGTAAGAGGCCTGGGGTGGGGGAGGGTCCCTGTGGGGGCGGGGCAGTGGGAAGACTGGCTGAAGGTTGGGGAGGCCCAAGCTGGCCTGGGACTTCTGGGATGCCCATCCCCTGTTCAGCGGTTCCCTTCTAGGTCAGACAAGGCAGTGCCGAAGGGTGGGTTCTAGGACATGGGTGGTGGGGCACAGATGGGCTTTTGTCTTTCCTGGGGTGGGTGGATTTGAGGCCTGGTTGCCCATCCCAGTTTAATCCACCAAATAATTATCCATCTCCAACCTCGCGAGCAGCTCTGCTCCAGGGTTTGGGGCTTACATGGATACTCGGAGGGTTCATGGATTTAGAAAAGCCAGGAGGGACCTTAGAAATCATCTTTCTAACTCCCTCATCTTACAGATAAAGAAACTGAGTTCCTGGATGGCCCAAAAGAGGAGGTGAAATAACCGGCCCCGTATTACACAGCTAGGATGATTTGAATCCAGGCTTTCATTTGACTTCCAGTCCAGTATTTCCATTACCTATGCCCCTCCTTCCACCCAGCTCTTAGTACTCTCTGCCTCCTCATGTGATCATATTTATACTGCTCTCTGTATATGTTGTGTTCCACCAGAGGATTGTAAGCTCCCTGAGGGCAGAGACTGGTTTTTTTGTTTTTGTTTTTGGGGTTTTTTTGGTCTTTGTGTGTGTCCCCAGTGCCTAGGCCAGTGCTGGCACGTGGGATGATAATAGACCTTGAATTTCATTGATGGGGGAGAGCCTCCTGGTCAGGAACTTCCTCTGGCAAAGGAGACCTGCAGTGTCTAGTGTCTTTTTTTTTAGGCAATTGGGGTTAAGTGACTTGCCCAGGGTCACACAGCTAGTAAGTGTCAAGTGTTTGGTCTGAGCCTGGATTTGAACTCAGGTCCTCCTGACTCCAGGGCCGGTGCTCTATCCACTGTGCCACCTAGCTGCCCCTAGTGTCTAGTGTCTTGTCCAGGGTCACATAGCCTCTCATGCTTGGCACATAGTAGGCCCTTTATAAATGCTTTCAGGATTGGGTTGCCTCTAAGACCTGGAGAATAAGAGGACCATGCTGCCATATCAGCATCGAATTTCACACTTGAACCCTCACCCCCACCCCTCCCCACCTCCTACCTCTTCAGCAAAAGGAGGCAGGTACATTTTATGGTTGACCTCTTATTGGAGGTGTTTGTAAAAAGGACAATCATTCAGGTATGGGGACATACAGATGAACTGGTGATCACTGCTGTGTGGGCATGCCCTGTGATGATGCACATCTCAGTCCTCCTCTGCCAGGCTTTTCCATCCTGTGGTTCTTATCTGTGACCTTCCATAAATCCGTCACAGAAAACCTACCCAGTATGTTGATGCAGATTTTTTTTCTTTAGTTCTCTTTTTTTAAAATTTTATTTTATTATGTAAGGCAATTGGGGTTAAGTGACTTGCCCAGGGTCACACAGCTAGTACGTGTCAAGTGTTTGGTCTGAGGCCAGATTTGAACTCAGGTCCTCCTGACTCCAGGGCCGGTGCTCTATCCACTGTGCCACTTAGCTTCCCCTAGTTCTCTTAATATTCTCTGGCTACCAGTGCAATCTATTAACAGATAGGTACATGGTGTCTGTTTCAAACAATCACCAAGCATGTATTAAGCCCCTACTGTGTGCCAGGCGCTGCTAGGCTTTGAGACTACAAAGACAAAAATGAAACAGCCCAGCCTTTAAGATGCCTGTATTCTAATGGAAGGGAGGCAGGGAGAGGAAATATTCATAAAGACATCCATGCAAAATATATACAGAGTAGATAGAAAATAATCTTAGTATTCCCACTAGAGCAAGAGAACAGTGCCGAGAATACGATGAAAAAAGCTGTCAGTGCCTTTTTCTCGCGCTCCTTAGACTTTTAGAGTTTCCCAGAATTCCTGAACTGTTTTGATAGACACTGTTAAAATTAGATTTTGTTTTCTAAACCACATATCTGGGCCGGGAAGGGGAAGATGAAGCCCAGGATCCCTGGGAGGTGCTATTGCAGAGGGTAGATAGCCCCCCCTGGTGGTCAGCAGAGTTGGCTATGACGGCCCTTCTGTCTGGGGGCCTACTGACTCGAGCCATCTAGTGCCACAGGGCATTTGACCCATGCCACTCAGGTTCTTTTCCCAGACTTACATGCTTTCAGTAAAGAGGGTTTTTTTGTTGTTGTTTGTTTGTTTTTGCTTTTTTGGTGCGGCAGTTGGGGTTAAGTGACTTGCCCAGGGTCACACAGCTAGCAAGTGTCAAGTGTTTGAGGCCGGATTTGAACTCAGGTCCTCCTGACTCCAAGGCCGGAGCTCTGTCCACTGCGCCACCTAGCTGCCCCTCAGTAAAGAGTTTTGGCAGTCTGAATGTCCAGCCCTAGCCCTGGGCTGGACCACATGCTTTCCCTGTTTTAGAAAGGGAACTGAAAGGAACCTCAGAGGTAAGCTAGTCCAGTCTTCTCTTTTTACCAAAAGGTCAGCTGCATACCAGAGAGGAAAAGTCGGTCAATCATTCAGCATTTATTAAGCACCTGCTATGAGCTAGGGGCAGCTGAGTAGCACAGTGGGTAGAGTGCTGATGCTGGAGTCATGAAGTCCTGAGTTCAAATCCAGCCTCAGATGCTAGCAGGGCGAGTCACTTAACCCTGTTTGCCTCAGTTTCCTCATCTATAAAAAGGAAATAATAGCACCTCCTAGGATTGTTGTAAGCCTCAAATGAGACAATAGATATAAAATGGAGATATCAGACTCAGGCCAGCAAAACTCCCTGGTGCAACCCCAACCAGTTTAAAATGTAAGTGGGAAAAGTTTAACGAAATCATTAAAAAGACAGTGCAGCATAAATAATGTTATTTTATGTTTTTCTACAATGGGAGCAGGGCTCTCTGTTTCTATTTGAGTTTGACTCTGGGCAGTCCTTAAAGTGCTATATAAATGCTAATTAATATATGATGGCGACGGCTGGCATGGTGGTGAGAGTGAATGGGACGGATAAGTTGACCTCTGAGGTTCATTCATCCCAGACTTAGGTCTGGGCCTCAGTTTCCTCATCTATAAAATGAAGAGGTAGGTCTAGATGGCGCTGAGGTCACTTGAGGCTGTAAATCTGTGGTTTTGTGATATTAGGTGACTCCCCATTAGTCAAGTGAAAGAGTTGGGCTCAGCGTCCCCCGAGGGCCCTTTCAGTTCTCTATCTGTGATCTTGGGAAATGTGAGAGCTTTGGTGGAGCGGGTGCCCATCTTCCCAGCTGAATGGGCCTCCCTGCTGGTCACTCATTGGCTCCCCCAAGGGAGGAGAAAGAGAGACTCCCATTCACCCAGTGCCTTTCAAGGTTCCCCCCGCCATGTTTTCCCCCGCCCCGGAGGTCTTGGATCCAGACTCCTCACCGCACCCACTCCTCTCTGCCCTAGAGTAACCGACGAAGTGTTCAACTTTCTGCTGGTCTGGTACTACTGCACGCTCACCATCCGGGAAAGCATTCTCATCAGCAACGGCTCCAGGTACTGAAAGCCACGTGGGGCCTCGGGAGGAAGGGGAGTCCTAAGGGAGAGGTGGGGTCCTCAGGTGGGGACCGTGGGTCTGGAAGTGGGAAGGGCTGGCTCACATGAGATGACTCGCTCACGTCCTACAGCTCGTAGGGAAGGAGTTGGGCAGAAGCGTTAGCATTCCTCTTGGGTAGGGGGGCTGTGGCGGTTCGCCGTCTTTCTTCCACATTCGTGGGCGAGTTGGTAACCATGAACAGTTTTTGACATTCTGATGGAATTGATTCATTTAGAGAAAGCGCTAAAGCAGCCTTGTGAGCCCTGGTTTTGGGGGCCAAGGAACCCGAGTGACCTTTGTGACCCTGGATAATCAATCAATCATTAAACAATTATCAGGCACCGTGTTAGGCCCTGGTGACACAAAGACAAAAAAATCAACCAGTCCTTGCTGCCCTTGGGGCTGTTGTCCTATTTAAACCTGAATAATGTCTTTGTGATCTGAGAAGGGACCGAGCGGCGCCTTCAGCCAGGCAAGGTTTATTCAGTGGGTGCTGTGTGCCAGGTATGTGCTAAGCACCTGGGTTACAAAAACGGCACTGAGATACCAAGAGAGATACCATACATGCAGCACTTTGAGAAAATTAAAGCACTCTGCAAGTTCTAGCTCTTATTGTCTCTGTCCCCTTTCATCACCAGATGATGAATCTGGGATTTCTAAGAGGTCTTTCCAGTTCTCGGATCCTACCTGTGTCTAAATGTGGGGCACAGGGGAAGAAGGCGGGGTCTGTGCATCGTGCCCAGGGCCCCAAGCCCTCATCTGAAGACCCCTTGGGAAGCATGGAGTTCTTTTAAGGATCAGAAAAGAGCAGCCAGCCCTCTGTAGGCGAATACACACACACCTTCCACATTTATGTACTTGTTTTCATCCAGACCTGGGATTTCCCCATGTAGAAAACTCCTTTCCTGGAGGTAGATGAGCTGCTTACCTGCCTGGAGGGTGCTTCCTGGGATCCCGAGAGGAAGAGGGTTTGCCCAGTGTCACTGCTACGGCTGTTATACGTCACTCTATCCACAACCCCAGAATGTCATTTTCAAGTGTCTGTAGAGGCTGTTGTGATTAATAACATTAGTTAATTTAAAAGATCTCCTGAATTCAGAGTCACTTTTTGTCATCATGGATTTTCTCAATCAGCAGGTGCTAATTAGGACAAATAAGGCAGCCAGGTGGCGCAGTGGATAGAGCACCGGGCCTGGAGTCAGGAAGACCTGAGTTCAAATCTGGCCTCTGACACTTTCTAGCTGTGTGACCCTGGGCAAGTCACTTCAGCCTGTTTGCCTCAGTTTCCTCCTCTGTAAAAGGAGCTGGAGAAGAAAATGACAAACCACTCCAGTAACTTTGCCAAGAAAACCCACAAATGGAGTCACGAAGAGTCAGACACAATTGAAATGACCAAACAACAACAGTAGAAAAAATGCTGCCATCATGTGGGAATCTGTGGAATTCTTGATAAGAAAAATATTGGGAATCACTGGTGTGGTGGAGAGAGCTCTGGGAGGATTGAGGGTGAAGTACGTGTTCGACCTTTCAGCCGAGAAGTGGTGGGCTATGGGTGAGGAATGGGGTGTATATTTTCAGACATTTGGTTTCCTTGAGTGTTTTTATTTGCCACCAGGCAGGATTCTCTTGGGAGTTATTGGGAAGCGACGGCGATATTTAAGAACCTCAGTAAACCATTTAAAAGAACTGTGGCTCCTACCTTGAGTTAGCGACTGGACCTTAGGGGCTTGTCATCGACCCAACGATTATGGCTGCGTTTGTGAGTAGGAGGGACTCATGGGCCTGTCCACCATGATGGTGCTTGTACTGGTCAGTCCATGAAGACTTGACTCTACCCTCTCCCTCACTCCCCATTTCTAATCAGCTGCCCCGTCTTCTGGGTTCAGCATCTCTGGGATGCACCAACCTCTTTCCTCACATGCATCCTCCACCCCAGTTCAGACTCTTTTTTTTTTTCTTTTGTGAGGCAGTTGGGGTTAAGTGACTTGCCCAGGGTCACACAGCTAGTGAGTGTCATGTATCTGAGGCCGAATTTGAACTCGGGTTCCCCAGTTCAGACTCTTAACCACTTTCTTAGATTGCTGTAAGAGCCTCCGGTTTGGTTTCCCAGACTCCAAGCACTCTGCTTCTCCATCTGCATTCTGCACAGCTGCCAGATTGATATTCCTGAAATACCGTTCTGACCATGGTCCTCTCCTACTCAAAAATATTCATTGGCTCCCTGTTGCCTCTGGGATGAAGTTTTAAAATTCAGTCTTCAGCCCTGTGTTTCAGGCTGACCACAGTCTAGCCCCCACTTACTTTTTCAGTTTTATTTCTTATCATTCTCTGCTTCCGTCAGACCAGCCTATCTGCTGTTCCCTTTACATACCGTTCTATGAGCCGTCTCCAAACCCGAGCATAGATAGCCCTCAATGTCTAGAATCCTCATTCGGCCTTCTGGAATCCCTGACTTCCGTTAAGATGCATCTCAGGTTTCAGTTCTTAAAGAGGTCTTACCTGAGACACCCAATTGTTAAAATGTTCTCAACTCCTTTCTTTTCTTTTTCTTTTTTTTGGCCATGGTCAGGGGACTCACTTGTGACTTGCCCAGGGTCACACAACTAGTAAGTTTCTGAGGCCAGATTTGAACTGAGGTTTTCCTGCCTCCGGGGCCAGTGCTCTATCCTCTGTGCCGCCTAACTGCCCCCCTCTTAAAATTACTCTTATTATTTTGTGTGTCCTTTGTAGTGACTTTTCTGTATTCCACCCTGGGAAAGACTTCTTTGAGGGCAGGGATGACCTAATTTTGGTCTTTTTTACCCCCAGTACCTAGTGCAGAGCTGAGCACACAGCAAGTGCTTAATGTATGTTTACCAAAATGAATTGATGAGTGGCCCAGGATTCGGTAACCCTTTTAAGTGAACTTGTAGCCTGCTCGTGCCCACTATATCTGTGGACATTTGAAAAATGGCAGTCTAGCTAAAGGCAGCATGGTATAATGGGCAGATAGCTGGTTTCAGCGGTGGAAAGACCTGAGGTCAAATCCTGCCTCTGACATGTACTGACCGTGTGACCCTGGGCAGGTTCCTTAACCTCTCGGTGCCCCAGGAAGCTTCCATCGGGTTCTTAGGATTATACATGGAGCTCTGGAAGGGACCTCAGAGGTCATGCCCCCTGCCCCCCATGATACAGATGAGGAGACTGAGGCCCAGGGCGTTGTAGGTGGTTTGCCCAGGACCACACAGGTAGTAAGTGGCATAGCTGGGATTTGAACCCAGGTCCCGGGACTCTAAAACTAGAGCTCTTTCTGTACTCACACACTGGAGAACAGTTGGAACCCTGCATGGGTAGAAGAAATTTCCTTAAGGGGCACCTCTCTAAATTCCTGAAAATACAAGTCCAAACTGAAACAAAACCTAAATGTCTCTGTGAGAACAAGGTATTTAGTCAGCCCACAGAAGTCATTCGCTTATTTATGGATTTTTCCCTGTGAGTTCTTGGGCCTCGAGATCCCTCCTGGGTCCTCTGGAGGCCTGAGGGACACTTGGGACTGATCACAGGGTGTGATCATGGAAAGGATTTGGGACTTTAGTGACTGTCTAGCCCCATCCCCTCGTGTTATGGATTAGGAAACAGGCCTCAAGAGAAGTGACTTGTCCAAGGACACGCTGTAAGTCACTGGCAAGGCCAGGCCTGGGCTCCTGGGCTCCTGATCCCCCACCCCATGGCTGTTTCCTTCCTGTGTTGGGTTCCATATTAGACCCTCCCTTTCACGCGTCATCTCTGTCCCTTCTAGTTTCCTTCTTAAAGGAACAATCCACTCTTCATTTCCCTTTTGTGCCCCCTTTTATTGGCCGGGTTGGGCATGGTGAGGGGTCCAGCCTGGTGGAGTGGGGCAACGAGGTACATTCTCACATCTCTCTGGGGCAGGTCAGTGCCTTGCTCTGCCATGACTGAGAGTTAAGGTGACCAAGGAGTGTGGATAAATGGTCAACCCTCTTTTATCCTTAGAAGGGCAAGGAACGCCATCCGGGGTGGGGAACCTGTGGTCTCAAGGCCACGTGTGGCCTTTTGACTGAGTCCAAGTTTTACAGAACAGGTCCCTTTATTAAGGGGATTTGTTCTGTGAAGTTTGGATTCAGTCAAATAGACTGACAAATAGCCTTGGAGATAAGCAAGTAGAGGGGCTGACGCAGATGTGTCTGCCGCCATCTTTGTTTCTGGAAGTGGTGGGAGGGGAGGGAATCTGGTCATTCTGCACTGGAGTGGGTAAGCCCTGTATGAGCAGTGGGGCTATAGACATGGTCCCTGCTGTGGCTGGTCCTATACCCAGATTGTTGTTGTTTAGGTCACGTCTGACTCTCGGTGACCCCGTTTGGGGTTTTCTTGGCAGATATTGGAGTGGTTTGCCATTTCCTTCTCCAGCTCATTTGACAGACAAGGAAACTGAGGCAAACAGGGTGAGGTGACTTGCCCAGGGTCATATAGCTAGTAAGTGTCTGAGGCCGGATTTGAACTCTGGAAGATGCTTCCTGATTCTAGGCCTGGCTCTTCATGCACTATGGCGCCACCTAGCTGCACCTTATACACAGACAGCCAAGCTAAATGGGATGACTTGCCAGAAACCAGCAAGGTGTCTTATCCTCGGAATTAATGCCCCATTCCGTGCCCCCAGGGATCTGTTTGAGATACTTGAAATTCCACCTTTCCTAGGGATTAAAACTGTGAAATGAGGAATAACCCCAGGAGGAAGGCATTGGCAGTGATTAACTGATATCTATCTTAAAGGGCAGGTAGGCTCAGTGGATAAAGCACTGGGTCTGGCATCAGGAAGACCTGAGTTCAAATATGACCTCAGATACTTACTAGCTGTGTGACCCTAGGTGAGTCACTTAACCTCTGTTTGCCTCAGTTTCCCTATCTGTAAAATGAGGCTTCACAGTTTTCTCATTTGATCCTCATAAATGCCCTGGGAGGCAGGTGATATTATTACCCACATTTTACAGATGAGAAAACTGGAGAAGGAAATGGTAAACTGCTCTAGTACCTTTGCCAGGAAAAACCTACGGACAGTGTGGTGCACAAGTCTAGAAGAATCGGACACAACTGGACAATAACAACAGCGGGATATGAACTCCTAGAGGGGCTTTCTTTGTTTTTGCCTTTTTATCTCCAGGGCCATTTGCAGTGCCTGGCACATAGTAGGTGCTCTATAAACTTGAATTCTAAGTATGATTGAGAGATGGGAACAGATGAGTACCAACTCATCAATAACGACTTGGGTTTGAGTTTCTCCTCTGGGATAATAAGAGCTGGAAAGGGCTTTGGAGATTATCAAAGGCCCAGCCTCTTCACAGGGCTTAGTGCAATGCCTGGCACATAGTAGGTACTTAATAAATGTTCATTGTTTGATTAGAATCAGAGATTTATAGCTGAAAGGCCCTCAGAGCCCATCTAGTCTAAACTCTTCATTTTACAGATGAGGAAACTGAGACCCAGAGAGGTTGTCACTTACCTGTGGTCATATAGTATGAAAGGCAGGATTTGAACCCAGATTTTCCTGATTGCAAATCTAGCCTTCTCTCTGCCCGTCTCTTTTTATAGATTGGAAAACAGGCTAAGAGAATGGAAGAAGCTGGCCCAGGGTCACAGATTTAGTTTGTGGCTGAGCTGGGGTGATCATCTAGGCCTCCTGACCCTTGTGTCTAGTTGTCTTTCTGCCATTCCATGTTGTCTCCCTTCCTCCTCAGGACGGAAGTGAGAGAAGATTAAAAGGAGATGTGAAGGTTCTCATGTGCAAGGCAGATGAGGCCAGCTTGGTGTGGCTCCGAAGGACGGAGCAATGGGTGGAAATGACCCAGGTCTTGCCATATGAGGCTTGTTAGAAGAAATTTGGGGTGTTTAGCCTGGAGAAGAACAGGCCTAGGGGGACATGATGTGAAGAAAGGCGTGGGGACGACTCTGGCTGTCCCCAAGTGTAGTGGACTGCCTTGGGAGGGGTAGTGGGTTCCCCCGTACACAGATCTGAAGGATGACTCCCTTTTCTCTGTGTTGTGGAGGAAATTCATATTCAGAGATGGGCAGCACTAGACGACCTTTGGAGGCCCTTCCTACTTGAGATTCTGTGATTCTTTGAAATGACAAGGAGTCAGACTTCAGCTCAGTAAAAGACCAAAGCCAAAACAGGTTCTGTCCTTGAGGAGCTTACATTCTGTTTATAAGTCTTGGAACCGTTCAAGGATAGGATGGGCGGCTGTGAAGGGTAGTGAGCTACTCATCCCTAGAAGTATTCAAATTGAGGTTGGATGTTTACCTGTCAGGAAGGTTGTAGAGAATCCGTGAAATGAGAGGAGGAGGAGGAGTGTCAGACTAAATGATCAGTTAGTCTGACATTGGATAGATAAGGAAACTGAGGCAGATCTCTATTAAGTGATTTGCCCAGGGTCGCACCGCTAGTAAGTGTCTGAGATTGGATTTGAACTTGGGTCTTCTTGACTCTAGGCCCAGCGCTTCATCTCTTTTCTCCTCCGTTTCAATCCGGTCAGTGCTGGTTCCGCAAGTGTGTGCGGTGGACGTGGTGCCTGTCCTCTGGAAACTCATGGTCTGCTTGTGGAAACATGCTTCACACGCATGTGACTGTCAGGGAGAGTGTGAGTTAGGATAGGGTCTATTTGGACAGTTTAACCCCAACCCTCAGTCCCGCAAGGATTTTTCTGGACTTGGTGGGGTCCGGGAAAGTGTTCCCTGGTACCCCCTGGGGGTAGATAGAGCTGCCCAAGGGGCCTGGGGGCCTTTGGGGGCCCAGAAGGTGCCTCAGAAGGCTCGGAATGTCTCGGTGTCAGACTTCAGGGACTGTTAACACAGGCTGATGCTGAGGGTCTGAGAAGCTGCCGCCTAGAAAGGTCCCCTGGGTAGTCAGTGGAGGAGCTGTGATCCAAACCCAGAGCCTGTGCCTCTGGGGGGTCTCTTGGTGAGCTGAGATTGGGATATGTGAAGATAAAAGTAGTTTGGCTTCACTGGTGAGCTTTCCTGTATCCCATAGAGGAAGTGTGTGTGTGTGTGTGTGTGTGTGTGTGTGTGTGTGTATGTATGTGTGTGTGCGCGCGCACGCGCGTGTGTGTGCTGGGTGCCTGTGTGGGTGCGGGTTTGTTGCTCTGACGTGCCACCTGGGCCCCATGGACCTGTGGTTGGGGACAAGCATGGCATCCCCACCCAGAGAACTCATCCCATGCTGGGTTTGCCCAGCAAAAGCTCCTAAATAAAGCCTGGCCCTGATTTCCTTGTCAGAGACATCCCTGGAGGTGTGACATAAGGGGGCGGGGCTTCTTCCACTTTTCACTTGATCACCCCAAGCTCCCTTTCTTTCTTCCTTTCTGTCTTTCTTTCCAAGAATTAAAGGCTGGTGGGTGTCTCACCACTACGTCTCCACTTTTCTGTCTGGGATAATGCTGACCTGGTGAGTTCTCTCTCTCCGCCTCTGTCCCTACTGAGGAAGGGAGGTGGGGTGGGCCTGGGCCAGACTGGTCAGCAGGACCGAACCTGGGCTGGGCTGGGCTGGGCTGGGCTGGGCTGGGCTGGATCCAGACGGGAGGGCCGTTAAGGTCACAGCCCCAAGACGACTCCTCGCCCAAGGAGCAAAGGAGTGAGTCCGTGGGCCTCAGGCTGGCTGCTCCCAGAGTCGGGAGCCCAGATGGATAGCCATGACCCCTCTTGGGTTTCTCAGGGAATAAAGGTTTAATGTGGGGCCTGTATCTCCAGATGTGCGTGGGGGTGGGTAGGAGTGAAGAGCAGAGCGTGAGGATGAGAGAGAGAGAGAAGACGATAGGGTGGAAATCCTCACCAAGGGACCTCAGGGGGAAGTGGCTTAACTGCTTTGGGCTAGGGCCCGGCCCCAGAGGCTCAGGGGATCAGTGAGCTGGGGAGCTTTGCTTTTCTGTGACCTCAGGCTTGGTAGACTTGATGTCTCTGGCAGAGAAGGGGGACCAGAGCCAAAGGCATCTCCCCCTTCTTGCTCTGTGTGTCTGGCTAAGGGGCCCAGTGAGTGCATGATGGGTGGGTTGGTAACGTTGACATTTCTGATTTGACCACCTGGTCTCTCCTTTTATTATTTTTCACTTTTTCCCGCCCCTCCAGGCCAAATGGACTCATCTATCAAAAGTTCCGCAATCAGTTTTTAGCCTTCTCCATCTTTCAGAGTGAGTGCCTCTTTCCTTCCTCTTTGCCCCAAGGTAGGCCCTCTTCTTGGTAGCAGGTGAGGGCTCTGTTATGTCAGGAGGGGGATTGGGGTGCCAAAGGAGTGGGGTCAGATTGGACCTGGGGAAGGAGCAGTCCAGGGTGCCTGGATTGAGGTTCGGGGGAGAGGAGGCTGCTTTTTCTTCCAAAATCAGTCCCCGTCAACATCACGAGGTGGACTGGGAGCCCCAGTACTGGCCCATCGAGTTCTTTCTGAGCCCTAACCCGAAGGCTTCCTCCCCCTCTCCAGGTCAGCGCCTTCTAGGTTTTTCAACGAACAAACTGAAAACATCTGTCCACCCTTGTAGCCTTGGAGAACTGCCTTGGGGGGGAAGGGGTTGAGGTGGCCCCCTCCCATATACCTCTCTTAGTGTCATTTGACTTTTGAGGGGGTTGCAAGTAGGGAGAACTTAAACGTAGAGGGTCTGGGTTCAAATCTCACCTCTGATACTACCTGAATCACCTTGGGCAGGTCACTAAGTTTCTCTGAGCCTCAGTTTCCTTTCTGCCTCCGAGCTCCCTTCCAGCTGGAGGTCTGTGATGTGGGGTCTCTGCCTGGGAGCTGTCCTCTCCAGCACCCCAGGTCCTCACCCCCTGTCCCTCTGCAGGCTGTGTCCAGTTCCTACAATATTATTACCAGAGCGGATGCCTCTATAGACTGCGGGCTCTGGGGGAGAGGAATCATTTGGACCTCACAGTGGGTGAGTACCCCCAGCTGCTGGGCCCCTCCTCCGAGGGCACATCTTTGTAGAAAAGGGAAAGGTTCTGTTGAAAGTTTAACGTTGGATATCGGCACTGCCAACGGTACTTCTTTAGGAAGACTTGAAGGAATTTTAACGTGTGAAGAATCATGACCTTTCGGGCATTCCTCCCAAGGCCTCACTGGGTCTCTGCCCAGTCATCCTCATTCCCTTCTCCTCTTATGGGTCTGAAGTTGATTTCACTGGTTAGACACCCGATACTCGCCTCTCAGCTTTACCGCTTCCTACCTGTGTGGTTTTGGTAAAGGGTTGCAACTTTTCTGGGCCCACATTTCCTCGTCTCTTAATGAAGGGGGTCACACTAGCGTAGTGGTGTCAAATTCAAATAAAAATAAGACTAGGGCCACTAAACTGTGCCTAGGGATCCCTGTGGGCTGCTTAGTGACTTAGAAAACCACGTATTCGGGGCAGCTAGGTGGCACAGTGGATAGAGCTCCGGCCTTGGAGTCAGGAAGACCCGAGTTCAAATCCAGCCTCAGATACTTGACACTTACCAGCTGTGTGACCCTGGGCAAGTCACTTAATCCCATTGCCTAGCCAAAAACAAAAAGAAAAGAAAACCACATACTGACATTATCTGTGTTCTATTGTATTTTGATTTATTTTGTTAAATATTTCCCAGTTATGTTTGAATCTGGTTCTGGCCACATTTGCGAGCCTTGTGGGCCAAGTTGGACTGAGTATCTAACTCCTGGACTAGAGGATCTCTAAAGTCCCTTGTGGCTTGAAAACAGTGATCCTATGACTTGTGTTTTCTTTGAGAACCATCACAGAATAATAATAATAATAATCGCAGATTTGCTTAGTGTTCAAAGGTTTACAAAGCACTTTCTACCCGATAACCCTGCTGCCCCTATTTCACAGATGAGGAAAATGTGTAAGGAGGCTGAGGCTGGTTAAGCGATTTTTGCCCAGAGTCAGTTCATGAGTGGTGCAGTGGATAGAGCACTGGGCCTGAAGTCAGGAAGACCCGAGTTCAAATCTTACTAGCTCTGTGACTTTGGATAAGTCACTTAACCTTGTTTTCCTCAGTTCCTCATCTGTAAAATGAGACAGAGAAGGAAATGGCAAATCACTGCAGTATCCTTGCCAGGGAAACCCCAAATGGGGTCGTGGAGAGTCAGACATGACTGAAACGACTGAACACCATCAGTCACATAGCTGTTGGGTAACTGAAACCGAGAAAGAAGTGCAGATACGGAGACTGTGTGTGTGTGTGTGTGTGTGTGTGTGTGTGTGTGTGTGTGTCTGTGTGTGTGTGTGTGTGAGAGAGAGAGAGAGAGAGACAGGGAGAGGGAAAGAGAGAGGGAGAGAGAGAGGAAGGAAGATGGAAAGTGTGTGTGAGAGAGAGAGAAAGAGAGAGGAAGAGGGAAAGAGAGAGAGAGAGAGAGAGGAAGAGAAGGAGAAAGAGAGAGGAAGAGGGAAAGAGAAAGGAAGAAGGAAAGAGAGAGGAAGAGGGAGAGAGAGGAAGAGGGAAAGGGAGAGGAAGGAAGAGGGAAAGAGAGGAAGGAAGAGAGGGAGAGAGAGAGAGAGAGGAAGAGGGAAAGGGAGAGAGAAAGAAAGAGGGCAAGAGAGAGAGGAGAGAGAAGAGAGAGAGGGAGAGGAAGGAAGCAGGGTGCCTGCTGCCCTCGCGCACCGTGACGTGTACGTGGCTTCTTCGTGTCCCTGACTCTGTGTTCTTTCCCACAGAGGGCTTCCAGTCCTGGATGTGGAGGGGCCTTACTTTTCTCCTGCCGTTCTTATTCTGTGGTCACGTAAGTCGCCCCTTGGACTCAGCGGGGGCCTAGCCCTCCTGGTTCCCATGTCTCCCACGCTGTAGTTGAGCCGGCAGTGGGCCCGTCACAGCAGGGTCTTAACGTGTTGCTGACATGGCAGTCATAATAGTCATAATAATAATAATGAGACATAATAATGGTGCAGTGGATGAAGAGCTGGTGCTTTACAAATATGATCTCACTTGACCCTCACAACCACCTCGGGAGGTGAGTGCTGTTATTATCCCCAGTTTACAGATGAGGAAACTGAGGCTCTCTAAGACTTCAAGTTGCAGAGCCGGCGCTGGTCTGCCTCGATAGAGGGAGTTTCCACACCTGGGAGTTCCTGGGACCAATAAAATCGATCCAGTCCCTGATAATAAAATACTGATAACAGTAATAATAGCACACGTTGCTGTAATGCTGAAGGGTGTACAAATGCTCAGGTTCGGGCCTGAAGCCTTTAGAAGAAGGGGTTCTTCCCCACGGGGCCTGTGAATCAGTTGCAGGGGGTCTGTTCCTAACAACAGCAATAATAGCTAGCATTAATAGAGTGCTTTAAGGTTGGTACTTTGTATATCTGTTATCTCACTGGATAACTTGGATGGGAAAAATGAACATCTCTTTCAGTGTAATTAGTTTTCTTTGTACTCCCTGGTATTTTACTTTATGCTTTAAAACTATGATTCTGGGTAGGGGCCCATAGAATTTCCAGCCTGCCTAAGGGTCCAGGACACAGACGTGGCGAAGAAGCCTTGGGCTCCAACCTGGAAGCCACCCCTAGCTGGGTGAGGGTGGGGGTGGGGTTAGGGATGGCCCACGTGCGCCATGATGGTACATTGGGCCCAGCTCCCGGGGGAGAATGTTGAGGGAGCGGAGCAGGGATTCCATACTCTATATTCCATTTGAGGTTCAAATGATTCCTTTCCCCCCAAGTCTATAGAGCCACCCACTCTGATAGTAAAGGGAGGCCCTTTGATTTCTGTCTCTTCAGTTCTGGCAACTTTATAACGCCATCACACTGTTTGAGCTCTCTACCCATGAAGAATGCAAAGAGTGGCAGGTATGGGGGACGGGTGGGGGTAGGGGTGGAAGCCCAGGTGCCCCCTGCCCTCCCTTCTCTGCCATTGCCCTGGGGCTTGCCCTCCTGAGATTTCCCTATTGGTGGGAATGGGAGAGAGGTGTGAGATGCAGGACCACTCCCGCAGACAGTTTGAATTTGGGAAGCAGGTGCCCATGGGCGAGGAGGCGTCCGCCCTCCTGTGCACTTTACTTTGACCCTCTGGGCTGGGGAGCCGCGGTGTGGACTGATTGGTGTGGGGCGGGGGGGTAAGAAGAGGCGTTCAGCCCTACGTGAGCAGACCCACCCTGATGAGAAAGCTGGCGCTAAGCCCTCGCCTTTCTTCTGGACCTGGCTTGGTCCCTCTCTCCTTTTTGTCCACCCCTTTCAGGTCTTCGTCTTGGCCATCACGTTTCTCATCCTCTTCCTGGGCAACTTCCTGACCACGCTCAAAGTTGTGCATGCCAAACTCCAGAAGAATAGAGACAAGATGAAATTATGAGCAGCGATGCCTTCCCTGCCTGGCGCCCTGGACTCTGACCCAGCTAGGGGAATACCGGGGGGCCCGTGTTGTCTTGGGCACCATTTCCCAGACGGCTTCTCTCTGGTCTCTCTGGGGCACTGGGAGCAGACCCTGGGACCTCCGTCACACCTAGCTGGAGACTAGAAGAATGTGAACCCTTCCATTCAGTATTACCCCAGACCCGTGCCCCGCCCCAGTCTAGACGCCTGGTTCCCCGTTCGTGTCTATTTAAGACTGGGCCTTCCCCACTCCCCTGAACCAGAGACCTCTCTTGCCCTCATAGCTGCCAGCTGACACAGTCCTTTTCTAGTGGTGCTCTCCCCGCCTCGAGCTGTACAGGAGCGGGGAGAGCAAGCATGTTTCAGGAGATTTCTGTTTGGAGGTGAACTTTGGGCTCTGCCCTGCCGTTTTGGCGCAAGTTGGGTACGGGCAGTGAATCCTTCAGTGTCCTGTGGGCCTTTCCCCCCTCCCTGGGAATGCTGCTACTCCCCCAGGATCCTCCTTTCCCTCCTGCCTGCCCCAACGTGGGTCATTCACTAAGGTCCTAGAGATCCACGTCGTCTCCTCGTCATCATCATCCTCATTGTCATCGTCGTCATTGCCATCTCTGGGCCTCTCATCTCTCATCTCTGGTGGCAGCCTGCCTCCTGGAGCCCTCCCCTGCCTTTCCTTGGGACTTCCTTCCCCTCTCCTTATACATCCCGACATGTCGGAGAGAGAGGGGATGAGTGTTTACAAGACAAGAGAGACTCCGGTGCCCGTGCCTGGGGTTCCGCTGCTGGAGTCTGCTGGGTATAATGGAAGGAATATTGGATATGGAGACAAAAGGCCTGTGTTCCAATCCTGGCTGTCATTTACAGTTGGCTATCCATTTCCTCCTCTCCGGGCTTCTGTCTCCTACTCTTTAAAGGGGGCCCAGAAAACGTACCTTGAAGCCCCTTCCAGCTGTGATTCTAAAGCAGCCAACTCCCTAGTGCCCCTCTGTGGGGCCTTGCATGCCCACCTCTTGCCTAGACTAGCTGCCTGGGACCTGCTGCTTCTGAAGAGCGGGCAGCAATTCTCGAGCGACACCAGCAGGGGGTGTTGTGGGCCACTGGATGTGGATGGATTTGACATTGGGTTGGCTGGGAGAATGGCTGAAACACAACTTCCCAACTCTGGATGCTCCCTCCTCAAGGTCAGTGTGGGCACACTCAGGGAAAACTGGGCCTGGACTAGAACTCTTAAGAACTCTCTTCCAGCCAGCCTTAAAGTCCTAGGAATGTGGGCTACTGGGAGATGTCTTTCAGAAGGTGAATTTGGGGGCAGGAGGAGAAAGCCAAGTAGAATTTGAATTTTAATCTGCTGTTTTAAGGGATCTGGCATCCGTGCTGACCCCTCCCAGGGGTAATTGAGAATTGATTATATTTGGGCCGTGGCCACCCCATAAGCATCTCCCCCTTCCCCCAAGCACCACCATCTTGGTGGGCTGAGGGTGGAGGGTGGCTATGACCAGCCAGCACCAGCCTGAATCTCCCCCCCAAATTCTTTCTCCTCCGCCACTTTCCTAGTCTTCAGTCGACCGCCGCTCCCTCCCAGATCCTGGGATGGTTTCCGTTTTTAATAAAAATTCTCACTTGTCTGAAGCCTGCTTTCTTTGAAAGGGTGGTATGGATAGAGACAGCCACTGCTGTTCGAGGCTGTGACACTGATGGGTAGCAATTCTACCTGCCCAGTATGCCCAGCAGGGAGACGGGCTCCGTAGACTCCAGCCCTGGCCCTGTTGACCCATTCCAGGGACCCTTTGATGGAAGAGGAGGGGTGCTCCTGGGTCCTGGCTTCTGATCCTTCCTGCAGAACTCAGAACCTCCTCGTACATCTTCACGCCCCAGACCAGAGAGGACGGAAATATCTCTGTGAATAATTCCCTCCCTGGGTCTCAGTTTTCCCATCTGTAAAATAAGCAGCCAAGTGGAGAGGATTCAAGACCCAGTAGTGGTTGAGTAGGAGGAAGGAAGGCAGGCATCTGAGGGCTGGTGGTTGCTGTGTGCAACTCTCTGATAGGCCCAGGGCTCTGGGTGCAGGAAGGAAGAGGGAGCAGGGCCTGTTATCTTGGCCACCCGGGCTTTGGGAAATGGGAAGGGGGTTGTTTGAGGCACAGTAGAATGGGCTCCTCTGGCTATCTGTGTCCCAGACGTGGTCTTCCCGGCCCATTGTCTTTTCCCAACCAAGTAACGGGGCCAGGGGCCAAGTATATCTTTTGTACCAGTGGTGGTTTTTAATGTCAAACTGAATGTGGCCAAGATGGTGTGAGATAGGGGTTTTGGGAACTCCAGAGTCTGTGTTAGACTCGCCTCTGACAGCAGGAGTCCTGTACATCAGCTGGGTGACTAACAGATTAGGCGAGATAGGCTTTCAGAGGTCAGCTGGTCCAATCTGTACACAAGCAGGAAGACCTCAGTGAAAATCCACCTCGACAACCATCCATCCTGCCAGCGACGGGCATCGGTCTCTCCAAGTGGCTTATCCTTCGAGTGATAGGGAGCTTTTCCTTCTCCCTGAGGCCACGTCTGGCTTCCCTCGCACATTCTCCCTGGATTGGTCCTGAGCTTAGCCCAGAGGGCGTGGCTGACCGCCCCCTCCTCCCCCAACCTCCCTGGGATGAAGGGGAAAAACAGAGCTGCCTGTGCGGCCCACGGACACTTAGACCTAAGCAATGGCTCCTTTCTCCCCAGTGCCTGATAGAATGGGGGCTGCTTGAGGATAGGGTTTCATTATCTTTGTAGCCCCAACACCTAGCACAGAGCCTGGTACGTAGGTGCTTGTTAATAAGTGAATGTGGGTTGATTGCGTGAGCCAGTTAGCCTCCAGACCCCATTTTCAGCATGAGGGCCAAACCCAAGAGACTGGTTGGGAGTCATCGGCTCCAACCAGGCAGAAAGGAATCATTCAGGGCCATGTTCCATGGGAGGCACTCTGTGCCCTGCTCTGGGAATCTCGCAGCTTTGCGCTGACTCAGAGCTAGGAAAGGAGTCCCTTGGGGATGGGGTCTAAGGTGCCTTCCCAAAGCTGCACTGGCGTCACCCTCCCCCCTCCCTCCCCAGCCACTAGCTCCATAGGAGACTGGGGAGACCAAGACAGCCAGCCCGAGCTGTCCAGGACCTGGGATCCCATCACAGCAGCAAACAGATATGCCGTTTCTTCTTTCGTTGGGCCTTCTTGAGGGCACTAAGGGCGACCTTGGTGGCTTCTCGGAACACGTCCTCTACATTCTCACGGAACTTGGCCGAACACTCCAGGTACAGGGCTGCCTTCATCTGTTGGCAGGCACTCTCACCCTGTGGGAGAAGCAGGGTCCAGTATTAATCACTAGAAGTGCAGGGACATGGGGGAGTCACTGGGGCCAGGGCATGGGAGATTAGCATTGGCAGGAAGCCTCCCACCCTGCCTCCCCAGTGATCCTTCCAACCTCCTTCCTCAGCCTGGTGCAGTTTGGGTGGATTACACGATGGGTGATGGAAGAGATGGAAACAGTCTATGGATTGGCCAGTTGCTCCCTCCTCATCAGCCCCAGATGCCCCCTGTCCTCTCCACCCTGGGACTGGCCCTCACCAGTCTGTGTTGATGGAAAATAATGGCCTGTTTGTCGTTGGGCAGGTGCTGGTTCCATAAAGGAGCTCAGCTTCTGCCAGATGAATCTCTGATGGGCTGCAAGGAGGGGCAGCTGAGAGAGAGAGAGAGGAGAATGAGGAAAAGAGAGAGGAGAGAGAATGAGAGAGAAATAGAATGAGAGAAAGGGAGGAAGGAGAATGAGGAAAGGAGAGGAGAGAGAGAGAATAAGGGGGAGAGAGAGAATGAGAAGAGAAAAAGAGAATGGGGAGAGAGGAAGGAGAATGAGGAAAGGAGAGAGAAGAGAAATAGAATGAGAGGGAGGGAGGAAGGAGAATGAGCAAAGGAGAGGAGAGAAGAGAGAACGAGGGGGAGAGAGAGAATGAGAA